CAAACAGGATAATGCTTCAGGGGTCTCATAAGGCAGCAACTCTTCAGTTGTTTTTAAGGCAAATATTCCTAGGTTTGAAAACTTCCAAGTTCTGTCACTACCTGAGAGGCTTAGTGCAGATTCAACTTTCTAAGCTTCTTTTTCTTCATCCTGAATTGAAACCTATGTCATAAGGTTATCAAGGGTCAAATGAGGTAATGCATGTGCTATGGACTGAATCAAGATTCCCCCAAATTCATACACGGAAACTCTAACCCCCAATGCGATAGTATTCAGATATAGGGCTTTTAGGTGGTAATTAGGTTCAGATGAGATCATGAGGGTGTGATCCTCAGGATGGGATTAGTTTCCTTATAAGAAGAGACCAGAGAGTTTGCTCTCCCCACCTTCCTCCCTTTGGTGTGAGGGCATAGGAAGAAGACTGCCACCTGCAAGCCAGGGGGCTAACTCTTACCAGGAACCAAATTAGACAGCACTTTGATCTTCGACTTGCAATCTCCAGAGCTGTGAGAAATAAATTTCTGTTGTTTAAGACACCCGGTCTATGGTATTTTGTTATGGCACCTTGAGCTGACTAAGACAGCATGTAAACTCTCATTTTTTCACTCATTCATTCATAAAAAAAAAAAAAAAAATGCATTGAATTATTCCCATGTGCCATATTTCGTGCCTTAGTAAATAAAACACAGTCCCTGCCTTCATGAACCATAAAGTCCATTAGGGAGGGCTAACAGATAATTATAAACATAATTAACTATTAGAATTGTGATCAGTCCTATGGAGTACAGGGGACCATGAGAGCAGTTAACTGATCTAACTCACTCTGAGAAATCAGGAATCTTTTTCTAAAGAAATAGCATTCAAGTTGATGAGCTAAGCAAAAGTATGAGGGTGGAGAAATATAAGAGATGAAAAAGTTCCAGACACCAGAAACAGCATGTTTATTTTAGTTAGTTTGGGCTGCTATACCAGAATACCTAGACTGTGTGGCTTATAAACAACAGAAATTCATTTCTCTGTCCTCATGACCTAATCATCTATCAGAGCACCCACTTTCTAATACCATCACACTGAGGGTTAAGATTTCGACATATGAATTTTAGGGGAACATAAACAACAACGTTTAAAGACCCTGAGGGAGAAAAAAGCATGGTGAGACTCAGGTACAAACCAAAGCCAGTGTGGTTGGACTGCAGTGAGGAAGGCGGAGCCAAACTGAGATGCAGTCAAAGAGGTTGGTGGAAACTTGAAGGCTTGGTAAGGAATTTGAAGTTCATCCTAAAAATAAAAAAGATACACTGAGGATGTGAATCTCGACAGTGACATCATCAGATGTGCATTTAAAACCCCCCAAATAGGAGACCAATAGTCCAACCTACCCAATATGCATCTCCACTGCTTCTGAAAGAGGCACACATCCCACCTGCCTTCGAGGATTTGTGATAACTCATATTTCCCCCACTCTCAGCACATGTGATTAGGTTAAGCTGATGACATCCCCAATGCCAAGAGTGGGCATATGACCAATGGCTGGAAATCAGAGAGAATGGAATACCCTGGGCCACAGCAATTGGTTTAAATGGACACATGATTCAGACAGAGCCAAAGAGATTCAATAGCAGGACTTTTAATAGAACTATTGAGAGGCGTGAAATCTATGTTTCTGTGAATCTACAAGGAGCCATATTGCTCTTGTAATGGTAGAAACTGACTGAGAATAATGCCAACACTGAGGAAGGCAGGGACAAGGGATAAAGCAAACATGACTTCATCCTGATGATCATGTTTGAGTCTCCTAAGTTCAGCCACACTAAAGATCTCCCAGGAAAGGGAAACGGATTCAGTTTGTGGAATGTGAGACACCCAGTGAAGATGCCAAGTAGAACATAGATAGACTGAGATATTAGATAGATAGAAAGATATGTGGTGGATCGATGGATAGATAAGACAGGGAGAAAGGGGAAAAGGGGACAGGTTCAAAAGAGAAGTCTTGGCAGAAAATAAATACATTTGGGATTCATCAGCTCACAGATGGTAAAGGTAGCCATAGAAGTGACCAAGATGGCTCAAAAGCTAAGAGTGAGAAGATAGAAGGATCTAGGATGAAGGAATTTCAGTGATTAGAGATGAGGGAAGGATGAGGGAATGACAAAAGGAACTGAGAGGGAGCAGCCAGTGATGAGAGGCAAACTAAGAGAGTGTAGCGTTACAAGTAAAAGAAGGAGATAGTAATCGTCCATGTGAAATGCTACAGAGATGCTGTAAGGTAGAAATCGACCAGTGTCTACTCTATGTAGAAGAATAGCAAATCTTGGGGAGGAACTCCATTTCTACAA